GTTGTACATAATGTATACTCTAAATTAGACCCTGCATCACCAGCAGTTGGCCAATTTGGAAATGAGGTACACAATTACTTAAATTATAATAATTACTTTGTTGGATTAAACTAACATGATTTATTGAATTCAGCTAACATGGTTTAAAGATGCAAGAAGAACTTTTGGAGAACCAACATCAGTTGCTGCTCGGACAAATATGTCTCCCAGTAAGTATAAACATATTTCACTATAAGTTTATAATAGAATTTGTTGGAGTTATTAGGCTTATCAACATTGTTTTTCATTGTAGCTGAATGGTGGATCATGTATGGGACCGATGCACCAACTGTGAGAAAGTTAGCAATCAAAGTATTATCACAAACAGCTTCCTCATCTGCTTGTGAAAGAAATTGGAGCACATTTGCACTCATACACACAAAGCAAAGAAATAAGTTGGCTCATAGTAGCTTGGAAAAATTAGTTTATTGCTACTACAACATGAAGCTTCAAATTTGAGATAAGGAAGCAGAAATAGATCATGTCAACCATGGTGACCCACTAGATGTGTTTAATATTGTTGGTGAAGATGATGATACAGAGGGTAACCAACTTTTTCAACGGATTAGACCTCTTCATTTAGATGATGATGAAGGCAACCCAACTCCCAGAGTTGCTGAAGAAGCACGGAATGAAGGGATAAATGTAGAAAGAGTATTAGAGGAGGAGGTGGGAACTAGCAGGGCTGACTCTTTGAAAGAACTTTTGCGCCCAAGACCAAGAAACACTGGAATTCCACATTCTTCCAATCCTACACAACCACAACATCGTGCTGATACTAATGATAGCTTTAGTACAAGATCAGGAGACTCACCTACCACCGGAGGTGGGAATGATGAAGGACATAGTAGAGCTGGAGGTAGTGGTGGTGGATATGGAAACTATTATGGACCACCTCCCGGATTTATGAACCCCTTCACTGGTGAGGCAAACTTCACGCATGCAACACAGGATGATGACCATGGCAGTAGGCGGGCAGGACCAGGAATTGGTGCCATAGGGAAGGACTATACTCGCAGAGAAAGAGGCAAGGGGATTTTGTCAAGTCAAGAAGATGACTCGTTATCTAGAACTTCAGACTCTGTTGGAGTGGGAAGTAGTAACTATGGTAATACTCATAACCAACCATTTCCCTACCCTTCATATCCCATTCCTGTTGGGATGGAATCGAACGACTCATGGAAACAATCCGAGACTCAATCTTCAAATGATTTTGCTTATGGACAAGGTCAACCAATCTCAGATCCATATGGGTGGCATGTTAACAATTACATGCAAAATTATTTTGGGGATTTATCATTTGATAACTACTCTTCACAATACACTCACTCTACACATAGAGATGATGAAGATAGTCAAAATTTTGAATCTCATAGGAACTCTATGTGGTACTAAGTCACTCATGTATCTTACCATGCAATGTATAAAGTGTAAAATATTGTACTAATTCATTATATATAAATGATTATGGTGTGTTTAGACTTCTTTCATTAATTACTACATATTTTCTACACTCACAATATTTGTCAGCTCGCTATATAATCAACTTGATAATGTTAAATCCATCATGCAATGTATTTCCTTCCAATTTTTTGTGATAAACTAATAGATAATTGACTAAATAAACATCCTGCAAAGTTTCAATAAAAATTTCCAAGTTTTTCTTACAATTTCCGTGGTTTCCATGTAATTTTTATCGATATCGATATTATCCCGATTTTTCCATCGATATTTCCGTGTTTTCGGACTACCGATATTTCCGATATTACCGATATTTTCTTCCTTGGGTCAGCCCAAAGCGGACAATATCGTGCTACGATGGTGGAGCGGGCCCGGGATGTGGTGGACCCCGGGTCAGGATGTGACAATTGGTATCAGAGCCTAACCCTAGCCGTGTGGATTGTGACATCCCACATCGCCCAGGGGAGTGATCCTTATATGTATATTCCCATCCCTAACTAACACGAGGCTTTTTGAGAGTTCACTAGCTTCGGGTTCTATTAGAACTCCAAAGTTAAGCGAGTAGCGCGCGAGAGCAATCCCATGATGGGTGACCCACTGGGAAGTTCTCGTGTGAGTTCTCAAAAAACAAAACCGTGAGGGCGTGGTCGGCCCAAAGCAGACAATATCGTGCTACGGTGGTGGAGCGGGCTCGGGATGTGGTGGACCCCGGATCGGGATGTGACATAAATTGTGATAAAGAGATGCACAAAGGATCATTAAAAACCCAATATATAAATTAAAAATAAAAGATCATTAAGTTTTGTGAAAACATGCCAAATCTATAAGTTCATAATGTGAGTGAGTAATTCAACATTAAAAAAGTGAGACAATGTTTAAAAACGAAATAGCCTCTAAATAAAACCAAACGGGAAAGGAGTTGAGATTTAAGATTGAAGGCCCAACTTCATTTCACAAAACTGAAACAAATGGGCTAAACCCAAAACCAAATGTGCAAATCGAATATCATTTTGGGCTCCAAAGGCACAAAATCCATAGCACCAAAACCGTTGATATTCAATCTAACGGTTAAGGTAAACTTCAGTTATTTTGATTGTCTGGCCGAGGCAAAGGATAAAACGAGAAATGCAATGAGAGAAAAAGTGGAGGACAGAGAAACAACAGAGAAGAAAGGAAGAAGAAGAAGAAGAAGAAGAAAGAATTCACAGAATATGGGAGGAAAGTACAGAGAGTAACACCAGAACAACAGCAAAGACAGAGGAGGCGGAGAAGCGAGATTTCCAGAAGAGGAATCTCCATCTCCATCTGGGCTCTCATTGTTTTGGTGAAATTTGCTGGAAAATCCTCAAAGTTTTGTAATTTACATGGAAACATCTCATCGTAAGCTTTCTTCAACTGTTCAGATTTTGATTTTTCACTTCTGGTTTCATTTGGGAAGATGCAAGTTTTGATTTTTTATTTATTTATTTATTTTCTGAATTTATTTTCGCAGGTATGGAGACGGAAGAAGAGAGGAATAATAAGAGAGCTTCAGAACCAGAGTTTTTCTTGCAGTGGGGGAACAGAAAGAGACTCAGATGTGTGAGAGTCAAAGGCACAGAAATCTCAGCCGACAGATTCAAATTCAATGGTGGCATGTGCAGGAGAATCACATCGTCTCGGATTCATCGCTTTGCGGTCTCCACTTCCGGAAAAAATGACATCTCTGGATTTCAATCCAATCGCCTCACCAGGTTAGAAAATTTCACATGATTTTTCCGGCTCGCGCCTACGACCTGTTTTGGTTTCCGACTACTACTACATAATTTGGAGCCAGATTCTTTTTTTTTTTTTTTTTTTTTTTGTGCTCATTTCTTTTGTGTTATTATTTTGATCCCAACTACTGGTACATAATTTTAATTCCTCAACGTCTTCCCCGACGCATCGAGGGGAAGCGAATTATTTTCCGGGATCACGGCGCACCCTTTTTCACGTTCACACCCCGTCTTCGGATTGAATAAATAAAATGAGAATAAAGCAACGTAAGTATTCAGTAGAAAGAGAAAATGGGTGCGGGGTAATCGTTTCTCTAACAGTAAATATCGTGTGTTTTTCTGGACAAAGAGAAAAGATCAGTTTAAAAGGTAAAAGTTGATGCCATTTTTTTTATATATAAGGAGTTTCTCAATTAAGAATCAATCAGAATATGACAAGTGGAGCCGTTGTCAAGCCGTTGAGGGTAGTTTTTTGTTCTCTAGTTGAGCTTTTTATGTGTTTTGTTATAAAACTTATAGTTGTCAAGCTGTTTTGTCTAATTTACTAAAGTTATTTTGTGGGTCTGTTTGGTTTGGTTACAGGAATTCTGATGGGGGTCTGCTCTGGTGTAGCGCAGGTGAGAACCGAAAGTCATCTTCACCGGAGAAGGAGGAAAGGTACTACACCACAAGGGGATCAGTGGGTGTGGATGAGAGTTGTAATGGCAACGGGAATGGGAAGGTTATGATGGATGGAAACAGTGTTGAGGACCGGGGGCTTGTTTGGCCGAAACTGTACATCAGTTTGTCGAGCAAAGAGAAAGAAGAGGACTTTTTGGCCATGAAGGGTTGTAAACTTCCCCAAAGACCCAAAAAAAGGGCCAAACTCATCCAAAGAAGCTTACTTGTAAGTCCTCTTGTTAGTTTCTCGGCTAAATAACAGATTTGAAATTGGACTGTATTTTCCTCGTGTGGCTAAGCGAGTTCAACTTTAGCTTCTGATACCGATTTTTGGTTGGGTTGTAGTTGGTGAGTCCCGGTGCATGGCTCACTGATATGTGCCAAGAGAGATATGAAGTTAGGGAGAAGAAGAGTACCAAGAAGGTACTTGAACTGGAATTATTATATCATTTGCTGCAACATTTTTCTTTATTTTCGACGGGTATGAGTATTTGTATTTTGATATTTGGTTGATGTTTGAATGATGCAGAGACCAAGAGGATTGAAGGGTATGGGGAGCCTGGAAACCGAGTCGGAGTGATAGGTGTAATTTAAACTGAATTTTGTTGAAGCAGAAGGGATGACAGTTTTCTTTGCTCTGTTTAGAAGATGAATGCGGTGTGTAATGTAGAGTGGTTAGGCTTTTGTTCGAGTAAAAGGGGGTTATTGTAAATTACGAAATTATGTTTTGTATACAAGTGTGAGCAATGAAAAATTATGTTTTGTAGTGTGTAAATATGGAGATATTTTTGGGGGAAGGGGCTTCGGTGTCATGACCCGAATACAGGGGTACCTTGTGCCTGTCTTAAGAGGACGCATGACGTGAGACGGGAATCCTTACCCTAGAATATTGATCGTAAGTACGTTGGATTACCGCTGCCATATGCCAAACATGAGGCAAAATCACAAGCAACCAACACCCAAAACAACTTTGAATTCGGAAGAGAATGGCCCATAGAAGCTAAGGCATGCGCACGCCAAAAACGCGGTGGAGTAGCTGGTTCCAAGCGTATTCTCGAATTGTATGAACCATCTGGACGTTATCCATAAAAAACACCTAAACCCGAACTTCTCGTATATTCAAATCCCATTACATTGAGGTCCATAACACTTATTCTTTACACAATCTGTCACACAGACAAACAGGTCAAGGAAGATCACTTTACAAACAAACAGATATCGGTTTTCACGTTAAACAATTATGAGTTTGGAAGCAGTTTATGTGGATGCCGTAACCATGATTCTTGGTAGTATGTAGACTTTCTTTCTGAGCATACAATAGAAACAAGCATATTCTTCTGCAACGAATATCTCATTTCACCTCTTTTGAGTCCAAATTTTTCCATATCTCTGTGATGGCAGTTCCGAGGTGCTGAAATATCCTACAAAGTAGAACGGGATAAGAAGTTAAGAACCTCTCAAAAGAAGACGGCTCTTATGGACAATCGTATCATTAGAATTTCAGATAAGCGCACCTTGTTACGTACGGTGAGATTAACGATCGTGAGCCCTTGCAGCCTGAAGCATTTCCACTACTAAAGTCTTCACATCCCTAAAAAGAGAGAAATAAATTTCTTCTTAGAAACAATTTACTCCAACTCCAAGTATGCAGTAAGAACTTTTGATAGCAATCTTGACTATAGCCACAAATCACGTCAACCAGGAAAAAATAATAACTATATCCTCCGACCAACATGAGGGAGAATTATTCCATGATTTATGCAGTACGACATTAACATAAAAACCTTGCAGAATCTGGAATAACTGAAGCAGAAGTAAACAGAAAATAAATCTTGACTTCAACAGAAAGGGAAACATTCATATAAACGAGAGGTCTCACTTTCGATCCTCTGCACGTCTAGGAAAAGGTATGCGGAGCTTGAAATTATCTCCCTGATAGCCAACCTAAAATGAGAGTAACAAAGTCCAAAAAATATCATGTCAAAATGGAAGAAATTTTATTGGTGAATTTGTATAGCATTTCTGGCACAAAACCTCAGTTGCAGCACAGAGACAAATGGTTTATTAAAAATATAAAGGATGGCTATTAGCAATGAAAAGTTAAAAATTGGTTGTTACCTTAACATTGAAACCCAGGCTGTCCAAGTCCAACATGTAAGCAGAGTCCACCTGCCGAAAACCAAAATCACCTTGCATCAAACTAAACTTTCCCCACCCGTCTATGTGTTCATATCTTTTATTATTCCAAAATTCATAAATGGATCTGGGCGATTCATGCAGAATACTTCCGAAGTGTCAGCCTGGCAGAAACAACATGTATTGGCACAATATTGACACCATATTCATTGGTTTAGTTTTAAGTTTTAGGTAATGTGAGCACAGTTGATATCCCCTATATTGAGAAGGAAAAGATGAAGAAGAAAAGAAACACCTTTCCTAATAATATTAGTTTATAACAGTTGAAAATACCGGAATAGACGTCGAGTGTTGCACAATGGCTTTTGTATCGTCAGCATGATCCCTGTTCATGTGAGACTGGGAAGCAATAGTTTTAAGATTCTATTAGAAAAAGCGAACAATTCATACTAAGATGAACCATAAAGCATGTATACTAGTTAAGGAGTCAGTACTGCAACAGGCTTTGAAAATTGAGCAATTGGATCAACTTTTGCAGCTTTATACTCCTCACTTCCGAACTCTGAAAGTAAAAGTAGTGAATGTTAAGAAAAATGTGAAATATATATAACAATTACAATATTTTGTAAATAAATAAATAATAAAAAATCCACAAGAGGTGCTAAAAACAGAAAAATAACAAGGCCATGGTACATCCGTTTCAAAAGTTATCTACAGAGTACAAAATTATCTTTCCCAACAAGACACCAAAAAGGTGAAGTACCTCCTGATCCTAACAAGGCTGTTGCAACCCCTGACACGTATCGCACAACTTTTGGTTCAATGCGCATGAATTGGAAGTCGCCAAAGTCAACCTTCAGATTGTACGTGATGATTTAATACTGATATAAAATTTGGTGCAACATATCATCCATTTACATTAATTATGCTTCGGAACAAGATTGTTACCGAAAATGCATTGGGATGCTTAGCCAAATATGCAGTGCGTATGGCTGCTTGATCCATCTCGGAAACCTAAATGATTGTAACAACCATTTTAGATTGTTTGCAACCAGAGAGAGAGAGAGAGAGAGAGAGAGAGAGCACTTCAAACACTATATAAAATTAGAAAAGCAGCCATTACTTACAGGAATAGCATCACCATGCAGCGTGACCACCAAATCAGTCCTATCTTCAGGGTCTTTAGCCACAAGCAATGAGCACTTGGGATTAATGGCTAGGTCCTATTGAATCGAAAAATGAAAAAGCACGATAGGATATGATATTATTGATATTGGTGATATTAACATGCAGAGAGATCCATACAGTGATAAAGTAGCAGCTTATTTTAGTCGGCTGATTTCCATGATTGGAAGGGTTACATGTTTTTACAGAAAATTATATGGAACAGATTGAAGTTTAAAACATAATGTTCTGCAGTCTTCCTTCCACATGAAAGAAGGTTAGCATCATTTCAAGTGAAGAAAGGATGCTGCCTATGCATCTAGATAATATATTGCAGCTTAGTTCCAATTTTAGCTTGAGTGAGCATTGTGTAAGAGCAAAACTCTCTTCAAAGAGAGTGTTTTCTGGGGTAATGAAATAGCGAGTGTATCACGGTTTAACTTTGCATTTGGGTTGCATTGATTTAACTCAACTGTCTTGCATTCGTTATATTCCTTTTGAAGAAGAACGATCCCTCATTGATGCAGGGAGAACTTTTTGAACAAAAACTCATGAACATAATTTTTACTGCCTATTTATAAGGACAATTGTGTATTGCTGTGTGGTGTGATTTCTCTTTTGTGCTTAAACCTCAACAAGTGGTATCAGAGAAAGATTTTTTGAGGTTCACATTAGTTGTTATTCACCCCCAAGCCAACAATATGTTTGAAGTTAAAATCCAACAAACCTTTGTATGAACTGCCAAGCTGCTAATTGCTAATATTGGAGATCCATCTGCATCACATGCAAAGTCAACCATTGATCCTGATGGATGATCCTCATGCTTCTGCACATTAAAGAAAACCAAAGAAAATGATTCAAGGACAACAACGTCGTTGAAGCAATAAATCCCATAAACATCAATCAACCAGAGTGATTAATAGGAACGATACTCATAAGAGGTCAATCATAAAATTACAACACCCTATGAATGTTAAAGAAAAGTATTATTTATTCCCAAACCATGTATCAACGTCAGGCTTTGGTAATCAGTACCAGAAAAAACCATCAGAAAACAGTCTGGAGGGTTTTTGGTCCAGCATCATGCTTCTGTAGTGCAATTACGTATTTTTTGCACAGTTTTCATCACCGACCACCAGTGCGCCCTAAATTTAATTTTATCCAAAAATAAAAATAATTTGAACAAAACTTCAGCCTCATTAACTTGTTGGGAATCAAACCTTTGATTGCTTCATCCCGAATTTTGTAAGAAAGACTTACGATACTCCACAAAGCCATTAGCCTCAATCCTCAAAGTGTACGGTTATTATGAGGACCACCACAAAGACTACACTATGCATAAACTTTAAAAAGCCTAATGAGATAATGTTGCTTTCATGTAATTACTAGTTAAAGAAAGAGAGATTTATATAGGTGCATCCAAATGCATGAAATAATGTTCCTTTTTGAGGGATGAATGTTAGGCCTACCCTCAATCAGACTGGGAGACATCTAATCCAAATAGGATTGCTATCTGGTCTCCAGTTGGATTCCAACCAGAATCGATAAATCCCCTTCTTCACGAGTCACTACTTAGTAGACCAAACCATACTCCCACATTCCGAGGTAGTTCATTCTCATAAGCTCCACACTATATGACTGGAGACCAGCGATGCTTTAGATTCTTTTCATCCATTCAGGGATTTTTCATGAATTGGGCATAAAGTCCTAAGCTTCTAGATCAAAAATATTAATTGACCAGTCTACTATTAGCAAGGTGCAAGAAGGTGATGCACTACTCTCAGAATTAAATAACTAAGAAACAGAAATTCATTTGCGAAAGAAGAAAGCAAAAAAAAAAAAATGATATGGAAACCTGAGAAAAAGTGGAGAGCGTTCCGCGAACACTACGATCAAGTAGAGTACGGATTTCCTCAACCGGGGGAAGCCGAGCAGCCTTTTCCTGTAACAACAACCAAATAAAGATTCAACAGAGCTAAATCCTACATTCCCAAGTTCAATTTCCTACACTAATAGTCTAATAGCAATAGTACATTATTTATGTAGAAACTTTGAAAATGGACATGTGATGCAGTAGAAGTGTTCAACTTTACATCAAATTTTACCAAGTATTAAACTTTACCTGATGAGATTGGATCAACTGAAAAACACTGGCATCATCTCCACCTGAAAAACTCTGATCAAAGAAGAACGATTGAAATTAAGGCTTAAAAGTTTACAACTTTACATCAAAATTTTCACACTTAATTTCTAAATCATTCATTCATTGCAAAATCAGATACAAATATCTCACAGAACCAATCAAAAAATGGTTGTTTTTTCTTTCTGGAATCATAAGGGTACCTGAGTAGCAGACTGAGCGGCGGCGGTAGCCATGGATAAACGAGGAGGAGGAGTTGTTGGGGAGGAGAAGAAGGTGGAGGAGGGGCGAAATTGTAAGATGAGAGGGGAGTGAAGGGTATTATGGCCATTTAAGCGGGAGAATAGGTTGGTCTGCCAAGGCTTCACAACAGTCTTCAATATCTCCCTCTTCTTTCACACACACACCCCCCCCCCCTCCCGGCCACCTAACTCTAACTCTCTCTTCCTTATTCGTTAACGGTTGGAACTTGGAATTTGGTTGTTTCACGTTTTATTTTTTTTTCTTTTCTTCTCTTTCATTTTCTTCGTTTATTTGAAAACTCATACAATCGATATTTACGTTAATTTATTTAAAAAATATAATTTTTTTTAATACATTGATATTAAGGGATAGAGAGTTCGGCTAAACCACACAATGGACAACCTAATTTAGTATCGATTTCGTCATCCATGAGATTTGAATCTAAGACATCTTATTTACAAGTGAAGATGAATACCACTAGAATTTTAGATAAGAAAAAAAACCAAAATTTTGTAGGACAATTATGAATATGTCACTTTAAAAATAATTATAAATGAAGGTAGTTTTTTGTTGGAAATTTAATGAAACACTTCTGGTACTGTTTATTTTTAAAGTTGGGAATTGTTATTAGCATTCCAAAAATCTCATTCTACACTCATCATAAGTGTATTTTTCTTTTTAATTATAGAAAGTTTGGAGTGCTAATAACAATTCATTTAATGTTAAAGATATTTTTATCTTGAAAAGTCACTTATGGTACTATTTATTTACACTTTTATTTTATTATTTTGATTAAAATTAAAATTTTCGAGGACTTTTGGGTAGTTTTCTTTTTATTCTTTTGTTCTCTAATTAAGCTTTTGAAGTGTCTTGTTATAAAACTTATAGTTGTCAAGCTGTTTTGCCTAATACTAAAGTTATTTTGTGAGTCTGTTTGGTTTGGTTACATGAATTCTGATGGGGCTCTGCTCTGGTGTAGCGCAGGTGAGAACCGAAAGTCATCTTCACCGGAGAAGGAGGAAAGGTACTACACCACAAGAGGATCAGTGGGTGTGGATGGGAGTTGTAATGGCAACGGGAATGGGAAGGTTATGATGGACGGAAACAGTGTTGAGGACCGGGGGCTTGTTTGGCCGAAACTGTACGTCAGTTTGTCGAGCAAAGAGAAAGAAGAGGACTTTTTGGCTATAAGGGTTGCAAACTTCCCCAAAGACCCAAGAAAAGGGCCAAACTCATCCAAAGAAGCTTACTTGTAAGTCCTCTTGTTAGTTTCTCGGCTAAATAACAGATTTGAAATTGGACTGTATTTTCCTCGTGTGGCTAAGCGAGTTCAACTTTAGCTTCTGATACCGATTTTTGGTTGGGTTGTAGTTGGTGAGTCCCGGTGCATGGCTCACTGATGTGTGCCAAGAGAGAGATGAAGTTAGGGAGAAGAAAAGTACCAAGAAGGTACTTGAACTGGAATTATTATATCATTTGCTGCATCATTTTTGTTTATTTTCGAGGGGTATGAGTACTCGTATTTTGATATTTGGTTGATGTTTGAATGATGCAGAGACGAGATTAGGGATAGACAAAATACCCATGGGTTTGGGTAACCGCAGTTACCCGCCCATTTAAAATTGACGGTTACGGTTATGGGTAACCATTTAGACAAATAAACAGTTATAGGTATAACCGTTTATCCGTGAAATTTAAATAAACGGTTATCGGTATTATCCACGGTTATAACGGGTATCCATCGGTTATGGGTATTACCCGCGGTTATAACGGATATCCATTTACCCATTTAATTTAATATATGTAAAATTAAAAAAAAAAAATTATTAACCCTCAGAAAACTCACAAAAATTGAATTCCACCGAAATTGAATTAGAGGGGCCAATAGGGTTTGTGGGTGAGAGGATGATGGTCTTATGACTACTTTTTCCATTTTGGTTTTGTGTTAATGTAACCGATTCATATCTGTAAAGTTATAAACTGATTCATGAAATTGCCATACAAGCAGCACTGTTATATCAATGGTGTTTTATATCAGTTGGTTTTGCATAATGCCATTTTGCTAGTAAAGGAACAGTTGATTGAGTGATGTTTTATATCAGTTGGTTTCAGAATATTTTGTGATTGAACGTGTTCAAAAGTGTTTAGTTTCAGAATATTTTGGAGCTTTGAATCATCTAGTATTCAAGATAATGACTATTTTTTGTTTTTAGAAGCTTTACTTTGTAATCGTATGAATTATAATTAAATACTTGATTGGGTGTAGCAGAAAAATATCGTTCGTAAACTATTATTTCAATTATTGGAATTGTATGAGGACTTAAATGATTAAAATAGGGAAATGCATGCTAAAATTTACCTATAACGGTATTTAATTGTCAGAAAACGAAAATTATGACAAATTTTTATTTTGTAATTTTCAAGTTGTTAAAAAAAAACATGTAAACGGGTGAAAAAATTGGTAAATGGGTAAAAAAAGATAGACAGGTTCAAAAACGGGTAAATAGTTATGGTTAAATGGATAAATGGTTATGGTTAAATAAGTACACGGTTATGGATATGGATAACCGTTTATAAACGGTTATGGTTATGGGTATAACCATTTATGTAATTACCCAACGGGTAAACGGTTATGCGGATATGGATATAAACGATTATGGGTAAATAACCGCGGTTACCCGCCCGCCATAACCGTTGTCCATTCCTAGCAGAGACCAAGAGGATTGAAGGGTATGGGAGCCTGGAAACCGAGTCGGAGTGATAGGTGTAATTTAAATTCAATTGTATTGAAGCAGAAGGGAAGACAGTTTTCTTTGTTCTGTTTAGAAGATGAATGCGGTGTGTAATGTGGAGTGGTTAGGCTTTTGTTCGACTAAAAGGGGGTTATTGTAAATTACGAAATTATGTTTTGTATACAACTGTGAGCAATGAAAAATTATGTTTTGTAGTGCGGAGACATTTTTGGGCTAAGGGGCTTCGGTGTCACGACACGAATACAGGGGGAACACATGACGTGAGATAGGAATCCTTACCAAATGATAAAAAATTATATTAACTATTGGTCTGCCGACATTTTTATACGTTATCTTTTAAAAGTTACAATGTCATACTTCATCTTACAAATTTGTGTCAATGTCATACCTCTGTCAGTTTTTCTGTTAAATGATGACGTGGCTAGAGACGGAACCCACTCACTAATCCAACTGGATTAAAAAATAATTAAATATATATTTTAATAATTAAATATTAAAAAATTAAAAAAATTAAAAATTAAAAAAACTAAAAAAAAATAAAAATGGCCTAAGGGATCCGGCCTTCCCTTTCCTCCACCCGCACCAACACTTTTTCTTCTTCGCCACCAAACCCTTCCCCATCCCCCCAACCTTCCTCCACCACCCTCTCTCTCTCCGGGATGCGGTCTCCCTCCTCCGTCCCTCTCCCCACTCGCACTCGTCCTTTCCTCACCACCACCTCCCAACCGGACCCATCCCTCCCTTAGTCCCTCCATACCCAACCTTCCTTAACCACCCCACCGCCGCCTCTCTTTCTCCACCTTCACCACCCCTTTGAAGAAACCAAAAAAACCAAGCCCACACCCAAATCCCACACCAAAAAAAAAAAACCAAACCCACACGCAAATCCCTTTCCCCTCCTACACACACCCAGATCCCCTTCCCCTCCTAAACACCCAAACCCTCGATTCCCTCCCCGCATTTCGCCGCAACCCATTGTCGCCACCCTAGGCTTCTAACCTCGCCGCCTCCTTGCACCAGCTCGTGCACGATTACGCTTGGGACCCCGTGGGAAGGAGAAAGATGGCGAGTTGGTGGATGCTGGCCTCAACGCCGGTGGTTGCAGAGAGAAGAGGGAGTTAGAGTGGGAAAGAGATGCGGGAGAAGATAAAGAGGAGAGAGAGAAGGGTTGGTGTGGGTGGAAGAAATGAAGGCCCGCATCCCCAAGCATTTTTTATTTGTTTAGTTTTTTAATTTTTAAATATTTTATTATTAAAAATATTTTATATTATTTTTTAATCCAAATAATCCAGTTGGATTAGTGAGTGAATCCTGTCTTTGGCCACGTCAGTATTTAGTAGAGAAATTAATAGAAAATTGACGAAGGTCTGACATTGGCATAAATTCGTAAGATGAGGTATGATAGATTACCACTGTTTTATAATTTACCCTAGAATATTTATCGTAAGTATGTTAGATTACCACTGCAATATGCCAAACACGAGGTAAAATCGCGAGCGACCAACACCCAAAACAACTTGAATTCGGAAGAGAATGGCCCGTAGAAGCTTAAAGGCATCCGTCACGCCAAAAACGCAGTGGAGTAGCTGGTTCCGAGCGTATTCTTGAATTGTATGATCCACCTGGACATTATCCATGAAAACACCTAAACCGGAACTTCTCGTATATTCAAATCCCATTGCATTGAGGTCCATAACAATTTATCCTTTACGCAATCTGTCAAACAAACAAACAGGACAAGGCAGAGGACTTTACATACAAACAGATATTCGCTTTTCACGTTAAACGATTATGAGTTTGGAAGCAGTTTATGTGGATGCCGTAACCATGATTCTTAGTATTATGTAGAATTTCTTTCTGAGCATACAATAGAAACAAGCATATTCTTCTGCAACGAATATCTCATTACACCTCTTTTGAGTCCAAAATTTTCCATATCTCTGCGATGGCAGTTCCGAGGTACGGAAATATCCTACAAAGTAAAACGGGATAAGAAGTTAAGAACCTCTCAAAAGAAGACGACTCTTATGAACAACCGTATCATTAGAAATTCAAATAAGCACACCTTATGGACTGGGAGGATAACAACCTCGAGCCATTGCAGCCGCAATCATTTCCATCATTAAAGTCTTCACATCCCTAAAAAGAGAGATAAATTTCTTGTTAGAAACAATTTACTCCAACTCAAAGTATGCAGTAAGAACTTTTGATACCAATCTTGACTATAGCCACGAATCACGTCAACCAGGAAAACAGAATAACTATATCCTCCGACCAACATGAGGGACAATTATTCCATGATTTATGCAGTACGACATTAACATAAAAACCTTGCAGAATCTGGAATAACTGAAGCAGAAGTAAACAGAAAATAAATCTTGACTTCAACAGAAAAGGAAATATTCATATAAACAAGAGGTCTCACTTTTGATCCTCTGCACGTCTAGGAAAAGGTATGCGGAGCTTGAAATTATTCCCCTGATAGCGAGCCTAAAATGAGAGTAACAAAGTCCAAAAAATATCATGTCAAAATGGAAGAAATTTTATTGGTGAATTTGTATAGCATTTCTGGCACAAAACCTCATTTGCAGCAGAGACAAATGGTTTATTAAAAATATAAAGGATGGCTATTAGCAACGAAAAGTTGGAGATTGGTAGTTAGTAAACTACTAGTTACCTTAACATTGAAACCCAGGCTATCCAAGTCCAACATGTAAGCAGAGTCCACCTGACGAAAAACAAAATCACCTTGCATCAAACTAAACTTTCTCCACCTGTCTATGTGTTCATATCTTGTATTATTCCAAAATTCATAAATAGATCTAGGCAATTCATGACGAATACTTCCGAAGTGTCACCCTGGCATAAACGTGTATTGGCACAATATTGACACCATATTCATTGGTTTTGTTTTAACTAATGTGGGGCAAAGTTGATATCCCCTATATTGAGAACAAAAAGATGAAGAAGAAAAGAAACACATTTCCTAATAATATTAGTTTATAACACTTGAAAATACCGGAATAGACATCGACTGTTGCACAATGGCTATTGTATGGTTAGCATGAGCCATATAAGCCTTCAATTGAGCAACTGGATCAACTTTTGCAGCTTTATACTCCTCACTTCCGAACTCTGAAAGTAAAAGCAGAGAATGTTAAGAAAAATGTGAAATATATGCAACAATATTTTGAAAATAAATGATAAATAAAATATCCATAAGAGGTGCTAAAAACAGAAATATAACAAAGGCCTTGGTACATCAGTTTCAAAAGTTATCTACAGAGTAAAACATTATCTTTTCCAAGAGCAACAAACACCAAAAAGGTAAAGTACCTCCTGATCCTAACAAGGCTGTTGCAACCCCTGACACGTATCGCACAACTTTTGGTTCAATGCGCATGAATTGGAAGTCGCCAAAGTCAACCTTCAGATTGTACATGATGATTTAATACTGATATAAAATTTGGTGCAACATATCATCCATTTACATTATGCTTCGGAACAAGATTGTTACCGAAAATGCATTGGGATGCTTAGCCAAATATGCAGTGCGTATGGCTGCTTGATCCTTCTCGGAAACCTAAATGATTGTTCACAAAAGAACAACCATCTTCAATTGTTTGCAACCACAGAGAGAGAGGGAGAGAGCACTTCAAACAATATCCAAAATTAGATAAGCAGCATTACTTACAGGAATAGCATCACCATGCAGCGTGACCACCAAATCAGTCCTGTCTTCAGGGTTTCTAGCCACAAGCAATGAGCACTTGGGATTAAGGGCTAGGTCCTATTGATCAAAAAATGAAAAGGCACGACAGGATATGATATTATTAATATTGGTGATATTAACATGCAGAGAGATCCATACAGTGATAAAGTAGCAGCTTATTTTACTAGGCTGGTTTCCGTGATTGGAAGGGCTACATGTTTTACAGAAAATTATATGGAACAGATTGGAAGTTTCCTTCCACATGAAAGAAGGTTAGCATCATTTCAAGTGAAGAAAGGATGCTGCCTATGCATCTAGATAATATATTGCAGCTTAGTTCCAATTTTAGCTTGAGTGAGCATTGTGTAAGAGCAAAACTCTCTTCAAAGAGTGCGTTTTCTGGGGTATTGAAATAGTGAGTGTATCACGGTTTAACTTTGCATTTGGGTTGTGTAGATTTAACTCCAACTGTCTTGCATTCGTTATATTCCTTTTCCATTTATAATGGCAATTGTGTATTGCTGTGTGGTGTGATTCCTCTTTTGTGCTTAAACCACAACAAGTGGTATCAGGGATTATATTTCTAGCAATGTTTGGGCTACGTCCACACTAATTATATTTCTCTGAGAGTATTTGTGAGGGAGAGAGTGTGAGAGCTTTGCTCTAGATAGGAGAGGCTTCCCCCAATTGTGAGGGTGAGGAGTCCTTTTATAGAATAAGGGCTCCTCACTTATTACATATTTGCCCCTTCCTTTATTACATAATTACATTTGAATCCCCCGAGTATTTATACGAGGTCTAAATACGAAGGCCCTAAATATGGTATAAACAAAGTTAAATTCCAACAAACCTTTGTATGAACTGCCAAGCTGCTAACTGCTAAAATTGGAGATCCATCTGCATCACATGCAAAGTCAACCATTGATCCTGATGGATAACCCTCATGCTTCTGCACATTAAAGAAAACCAAAGAAAATGATTCAAGGACAACAAGGTCGTTGAAGCAATAAATACCATAAACATCAATCAACCAGAGTGATTAATAGGAACCAATAAGAGGCTGATCATAAAATGACAACACCCTATGAATATTAAAGAAAATTATTATCTATATTATTCCCCAACGATGCATCAATGTCAGGCTTTGGTAATCAGTACCAGGAAAAAAATAAAAATAAAAAAATACAAAACATCAGAAAACAGTCTGGAGGGTTTTTGGTCCAGCATCATGCTTCTGTAGTGCAATTACGTATTTTTTGCACACTTTTCATCACCGACCACCAGTGTGTCCTAAATCTACTTTTATTCAAAAACAAAAATAATTCGAACAGAACTTTAACCTCATTAACTTGTTAGGAATCAAGCCCTTGATTGCTTCATCCCGAATTTTGTAAGAAAGACTTACGATACTCCACAAAGCCAATAGCCTCAATACTCATAGTGTATGCTTACTATCAGAACCACCACAAAGATTATGCTATGCATAAACTTTAAAAAGCCTAATCACTAGTGAGAGGAACTTACATATATATGAGATAATGTTACTTTCATGTAATTACTAGTTAGAGAAAGAGAGATTTATACAAGTGCATCCAAGTGCATGAAATAATGTTCCTTTTTTTAGGAAGGATTGTTAGGCCCACCCACAATCATAGACTGGGAAACATCGAATTTAAATAGCATTGCTACCTGGTCTCCAGTTGGATTCCAACCAGAAACAATAAATCCCCTTATGCAAGAGTCACTACTTACTAGACCAAACCATAAGCCCAAATTCCAAGGTAGTTCATTCTCATAAGCTCCACACTATACGACTGGAGACCGGCAATGCTTTAGATTCTTTTTATCCATTTCCGGGGATTTTTGCATGAATTGCGCATAAAGTCCTAAGCTTCTAGATCAAAAATATTAATTGACCAGTCTACTACTAGCAAGGTGCAAGAAGGTCATGCACTACTCTCAAAATTAAATAACTAAGAAACAGAAATTCATTTGAGAAAGAAGAAAGCAAGGAAATGATATGAAAACCTGAGAAAAAGTGGAGAGCATTCCGTGAAAACTAAGATGAAGTAGAGTTCGGATTTCCTCAACTGGGGGAAGCCGAGCAGCCTTTTCCTGTAACCAAATAAAGATTCAACAGAGCTAAATCCTACATTCCCACATTCAATTTTCTACACTGAAAGCAAAAGTACATTATTTATGTAGAAATTTTGAATATAGACATGTGATGCAGTAAAAGTGTTCAACTTTACATCAAATTTTACCAAGTATTCAACTTACCTGATGAGATTGGATCAACTGAAAAACACTGGCACCATCTCCAGTTGAAACACTGGCATCATCTCCAGTTGAAACACTCTGATCAAAGAACAACGATTGAAATTAAGGCTTAAAAGTTTACAACTTTACATCAAAATTTTCACACAATTTCTAAATCATTCATTCCTTGCAAAATCAGATACAAATATCTCAAACAATCACAAAACCAATAAAAAAATAAAACTATAAATTTGGGGTTCATTTGTGTTTTTTTCTGGAATCATAAGGTTACCTGAGTAGCTGACAGAGCAGCGGCGGTAGCTATGGATAAACGAGGAGGAGGAGTTATTGGTGAGGAGAAGAAGGTGGAGGAGGGGTGAAATTGTAAGATGAGAGGGGAGTGAAGGGTATTATGGCCATTTAAGTGGGAGAATAGGTTGGTCTAGGGGTGGGTTTGGTTCCATTAGGTTCGGTTTTTTGCCAAAATCGGAAACTGAACCAAAATTATTGTTCGGCTCAGTTCGGTTCGGTTCGGTTTTTTCCAGTTCGGTTTCGGCCCAGTTCGGTTTTTTTTTTTTTTTTTTAATAGCAAAAAAATTTCCTAAGAACACAAAGCTTGCAGCCATTTTGTAATACATCTTCCACATTCATTTCAACATAATCGATAAATTAAGCATTCCAAATTTTCAATAGAATCAAAGACAATGAAAATAAACATTCAAAGTTCAATTACAATCAAGTCTTCCAAAGTCCAAAGTTAAAAAAAACATCAAAGTTCAAATCTTCCAAAAGTCCAAACTTAAAATAAACATCAAAGTTCAAGTCTTCGACACCTAAAATAAACATTCCAAAATCCAAACTTTAAATAAATATTCGACTTAAGATATGACTGCTTACTTCCGATGGTACACTCGAAGATGAGTTCGTTTGATCATGAAGGCTATTTGATTTTGATCCCATTGAGTTTGAACTTGAGCTTGAGGACCTTGAGACCTTTGACGCCTTTGACTTCATCTAATTCACACAAAATAATAAGAGGATAGTAGTTAGTACTACAAACTTATACAAAAGTAAATGTTAATTAAAATCTGGAAGGCCATTGATACAAAATCAAGACAAAATCTGGAAGGCCAATCATCCTCATTGGTATAAAAGTTAAAAAATTATGATTTAATCTTATGTGATCATTTTTCAAGGCCAATGATACAAAAATGCAGCAAGAATAAGCAGAACTGACCTATGAGGTCCTCCCTGGGGAATAGCAAGACTACAACAATGAACCTATCTTGATCTAGTGGAAGAAATTAATTAGTTGTCCTGCTTTAAATGTGTTTGCCACATACAACGCAATTTCTCCTTGATACAAATTAGTACCGCAGGCCTCCTCCTCCATATCATCCTATTTAATTTTCCAGTGATCAACTTCTATTAACGCCAAAAACAGACACACCAACTACACACAGTAAACACAATATGTAATTCAGTACTCCACACAACAATACCATTTACCTAGTAACCACCATATTTTTGCAATAACTATACCTTTCGTATTGCTTGAATTCTCCTTTATACTTTCAACTAGATCTGTAAACTTTCATCCATTCAATGCAGATAATACAAAAGTAACTCCCTTAATACAAAAAAAAAGGCGGCAGCACAAGGCTTTTCCTTTAACCAAAAGATAAATCACAAATCACAAATCAACCCAGAAAATGAAACAATTCCAGATGCAAGGATAATAAAAAATAAAAGGACAATCTAAAAGGAATTTTTTTTTTTTTTTAAAGGCCACAAATCTGACCTTTCCAGAGATTATGATCCGACGATCTTTCTTGTGGTTGTGCTTTGCCACAAATCTTACTTTAACCGTTCAGAGTTATACAACGCAAACCCCTCACACAAAATCATGTGGTTAATTTTCAGTCCACATATATATATAGTTAGATCCATACATCGAACCTTCATCGATCAAAACCCCAGATGTTTTCCACTCACATTCATCTATCTTCAAGATCCAAACAACCACAGAGAGCAAACATTCAAACCAAACCACTAAAACTGTATAAAATAATGGACGGAAAATCTGTAAATAGAGCAGAACCAATTTGAATGGAACCAATTTGAACAGAACCAATTAAACACACAGAAGTGAGAGTGTGAGACTAACCGGCGAGGTGTGAGAGATTGAGAGTGAGAAGGTTGCCGCTGGTAATGAGAGACAGAGAGTTTGAGAGAGTGATTGAAGACCGAGAGAGGGAAAGAGAGGAGGCTCAGGGCTCAGGCTGCTGCGCTGCGCGAACTGGGAAAACGGGAGAGACCGAGGGAGGAGGGATAGCCGGTTAGGGACCTAGGGTTGCACATCCGGGGTAAAACGATGCCGTTTTAGAATAGGATTATTAATTAATAAAACAATTACAAAACGATGTCGTTTTGAAGAATTTTGGTTTGATTCGGTTTGGTTCGGTTTCCAAATCTAGAAATGGAAACCGACCCAACTAGATTCAGCTCGGTTTGGTTCAAAGGATTCGGTTCGTTTTTTCAACCTCAGTTCGATTTTCAATCAGGTTTTTATTCAGTTTTCAGTTTTTCCAACCCACCCCTAGGTTGGTCTGCTAAGGCTTCACAACAATCTTCAACATCTCTCTCTTCTTCGCACGGAAAGGGATCCCTTCCTCCTAATCTATCAATTTCGAAGATTCGGATCGTTAAAATTTGATCTGACGGGTAAAGTTATTATAATTTTAAAATATATCTCTGTTTGTATCTGTTGGATCATCTTTCAAGTGACCAAATCTTCGAACTTGATGAATTTGAAGAAAATGATCTGGATAAAATCCCCTTCACACGCCACCTAACTCTTTAACTCTCTCTTCCTTTTTCATTAATGGTTGGAACTTGGAATTTGGTAGTTTCACGTTTTATTTCTTTTCTTTTCTTCTTTTTTATTTTCTTCATTTATTTGTTTTCAATAAGCTGCGATTTATTTGTTTTCAATACCCATTAAAACTAGTACAATGATATAATCGAAATTCTACACACACACACACAAAAAACAAAAAAAAAAAACAGAAAAATTTCTAAAACAATTACAAATATGTCACCTGAAAATAATTTTTTAAATGAACGGTTTTTTCAATAAATTTTACAAAAATATCTTGAGTAAGTTGTAGTAATGGTTCCTGAACTTTAATCAAATTGGAGCAATGGTCCTCAACTAAAAATCTATTATCATTGGTCTATCAACGTATCAAAATATGTAGCTATAGTCTTTTTCATCAATTCTTCAAAATTTTGTCAAATTAAGTTATGTTGGAATAACTATTTATATAATTAAGGTCCCTCAACTTATCAAAGTATGTAATTATGGTTATTTTCGTCAATTACGTCAAAAATTTTGTCAAAACAAGTTATTTTGGAAGAATCATTGCTACAATTGGATTAAAGTTAAAAGACAATTTCTCCAATTGAATTAAAGTTGAGGAACCAAAGGTAATGGATTTTTAGTTGAATGATCATAGGTGCACGTTTTGATGAGTTGAATGACCAATGGTAATGAATTTTTAGTTGAATGATCATTGTTCTAATTGAGTTAAAGTTAAGGAATCATAACTACAATTTACTCAAATATTTTAGATCATAAAATTAGTTTTGTAGAGCAAGCCCAAAAAGTATTCAGCACCGTATTAAACTACGAATTGATTAGTATAAAAATTAAATGAGGCAAAGTGATCGTAGGTAAAAGTTCATATGAAATTAGCTAAATCCTTTTTGTCAAATATTTTGGGTAAGTCATCGATGGTCTGGACTATTGAAAAAATAAATAATCTATTAAACATGAGAAATTTTATGTTCATCTAATCACTTGCTACAGTAGGTATAATTAAACATGTTATACATTAAAAGAAAAACTAATAAAAATATTTAGAAATTTTGAATTTTAACGATAAAGTAAATAATATTAAGATTTTTTTTTGTGTAAAAATATAATTTTTTGTTAAAATATTTAAATTGCTGACATTAATCGACATGTTCTACTTTTAAAATAATATATTAATAAAAATCATATAACAATTATGCTGAAAAATCTCTCATCAAGCACAGCCATAATAAATTAAAGTAAATTCTCATAGAACAGAATTTGGATAAAGAAATAGATCTGAGATTCCAAAATCTGATCAAGCGTAGCTGTTGATGAATTAACCAGTAATAGTATGATAAACATTGATTGAATTTCATCAATATACAATAACACACGGGATTTTTTTACTCTAATAAATTTATAATCCTCGTTTCCATCTTCCTAAATTCATAAACTAACAAGAATTACGATACAAATCCCAAATCCAATTTGATTAATCGGAGTGCGAATTGGTGCTGTAGGCCGAGAGATCAGAATCGTCGTCGTCGTCGTCGTCGTCGTCGTCATCGGAGGAGAGAAAAGGGAGGCAGAGAAAGGCGACAAGACGACGTCGTAGATGGTGTAGAGGGAAGCAGAAGAGGAGGTGGAGCACTTGGTGGCTACTCAATCGCTCAGGATTGCAGGCGATGTATTGACATAGATTTGCTGATATATTTGCTACCCGAACCACCACATGGCTGTTCAACACCATCTCTCTCTCAGACTCTCTCTCTTCTTCTCTTTTGCTATTTGTTTTTGGATTTAGATCTGGGAAGAAAAAGAAATCAATTAATACATGTTTATTTTCAATTTTTCGGTCAATACATGTTTATTTTCATAAAAAAATAAGAGTAAAATGCAGCAATAGTCATTTAAATTGAGCAATAATCATTTAAATTGAGCAATAATCTTTCAACTAAAAATCAATTATCATTTGTTGATGCACAAAATCAGCGAGGACTTTGATACAACAGAAAGTGTCAGGTTTGTGACCTTCGCTTGGTTGCTTCGATCACTAGTGAAGATAAGTACGTAAATGAATAAGGACAGGGAAGCAAACACAAGATATACGTGGTTCACCCAGATCGGCTACGTCCACGGAGTAGAGGAGTTCTCATTAATTGTGAAGGGTTTACACAAATACATAGGTTCAAGCTCTCATTTTATGAGTTCTAGTGAATAGTTTAGTACAAAATGACATTAGAGATTATTGTGGGAGAATGATCCCTATTTATAGAGGAGAGTTTCTAGTTTTGTTCTAACATTGACACGTGTCGTGTTGTGATTGGCTTCTAATGTTGACACGTGTCGAGCTGTGATTGGCTTCTGATGTCGACACGTGTCGCATTATGATTGGCCTCCTGGTTGAATGGAAGCTCTTCTGGGTCTTTGATGGTATAACGTTGACCGGTGCTCAGTAGTTTCGGGATTGGTCAAGTATGGTACAAACAGTGCTCCCCTAAGTTCCCGAGTGAGGGAAGCTCCTCGGTTGGGGACTTGCAAGATCCAAGCCATTGAGTAATCACGAAACTTCTAAGTACTGAAGTGTGGTATCATTTTCACGTGCCTTATCTGTCTCATATGTAGATGTGGCATCTTCTCTGGAAGTACTTTTCCTCCATCCATGGGTGGTATCTTTAACCGATGAAGATGCACAAGGTAATGTATCAATTTCACTTGAAGCTTACTTGTAGTTTTCGGGCTTGGTCAAGTGCGATACAAAACCTATAGTAGGAGTCCCCCAAGTCGCCTAGCTAGGGAATCTGCCGAAAGAGGTGACGAGCAGGTAAGCAGTTAAACTTCCAAGCAAGCAACCCAGGATCGGAGGTTCGACTTTTTGGCATCTACTACACCGTGATGATTGTTCTCTGACTTGTCTCCCGTACATTGTATTCTACGCAGCGTGGCGAGAGGATCAAAGAGAAGCAAATACGATGACAAGAAGATGAAGATCAGATATGAGATATCTTCTGCGTTCTTGTAATAAGTTATACCTTTCCAACCAGCGCTTCATTCTTGAACCTGTGCTGAGATAGGGTTTTCTGGGTTTCACTCAGGCCAGAATATAAGGCGACTCTATATTTTTGAGGTGCTTTTACCCATCAAGACACCATCACAAGTTCTAGAGTAAGCAGTCATCGAACCGTGTGGTGAATAGATCGATGTGGATCGAACTCTTTTTGAGGTTGTCGCTGACATAATGAGACACACTAAGTGAGCCATAAATGGACAACTCTTTTTAATGTTGAGAATGACACCGTCTCAAAGATAGTGTGCTTGTCACTTCTTAAAACCGCACTATCGAATCTCTCTCTCATACCTGCTCCACTAACAAATAAACGTTGCCCAGTGTGTGCAACCCTCTGCTGCATTTAAATAGGTCCTTCGCAGAACATTCCCCTTTCATAGCTGGACTCAACGTTCCACCTCTCTTGTTCCAGGTTCTGGCAACTTCCCTTAAAGAGCTCACTGTCTGATACCTGTACATGAGAGGGACTCTCGAAATGCCGACATGACCTTTGGGATCCAGACAATTGCATTGTCATGGCTAACTTCTTAATATCTGTGGTAGTAGACATGGCGAACTCATTGAACGTGTCAATGTGTGAGAAGTAGTTGATCTTTTGAGAGACTCAGTTTCATTCTCTGTGTTAGATGTCGGTGTATAAGTTAAGAAGCGAGAGTCCTCATAAGAGATATGTAGGATGGACCTCAACTGGCTTAGTCGGACAGCAGTGATGAGGTGAGTGAGTGAAGTAGGTTGTGAAGTCCCTCTCGTGTCTCTAACAGCGCTAATATAGACCCGAGCGTGAGTGCGTGCAACTATCACTCGCGACATTTTACTCCCAACCTTGTACTGACTTTATCCGTCTTCCGACATAATTCTACTGTGTGCGGCTCCGCCGCCAGCTATTCTCTAATTATCTATGCCTCCTGCAGCACGCGTACCTCATCTCTCATAGTAGCACTCAGCGCCTCGCTATTGCACGCACGCACTATATACCGCGTCCACACGCCATAGGCACACACTCCTGAGCTGTTCGAACTATAGCCGAGCGTCTGCGAGTCCGTCGCTGAACCGGCATTGATTACAGACTCTCTACAAGAGGACGGCCACTCAGAGTCTGATCATCACTTATTCACTCATTATCGGCGCAGCAGCAGATCGTTTCACACCCGTCTTTTTGACCACTCGGTCATACACATCCCTGGCTCACCGTCAACCTGTTGTATTTGCAACTTCGCCAGTACGGTAGGAGCGTCGACACTGGTACGTTATCCATGCATAGCCGCGCAATAAATTTCTTCCGACGCCACCGATCTCTCACCTCTGTGACCTCCCTATATACCATCACGATTCACGCCTAGTCCACACCACAGCCTTATTCGTCTCGCTCATTCACTGAGCACGCCAGCAACGATAGTACTTTCATCGTGAGTTGTGTTGAA